CTCTCTCTCTCTCTCTCTCTCTCTTTCTCTCTCTCTCTCTCTCACTCTCATTCTCACTCACTCTTTCTTGTCGTGCAATCCCGGTTTGCAACGTTCAAGGAATTTCTTTCTCGACCATGCCGTTACAGTGCACGCCCTAGTTGTGTTACGAGTGTTCCGGAATTTCTCGTCCGAGCGACGGAAACGGGCGACTGGGACGCTCTCCATCTTTATGACTCAACAGATATATACCGCGGGCAACTCGAGGTTGCAATTTGTCATTTATCATCCGTTGTAGTAATTACGATGAACTGAAGCAGTTGCAGGCAGAAAGCACGAGAGCATTCTTTTTATTCGTCGGAAGTGCGCTAACAAGGCAACTTCCGTAAACCACGAGTTGTGCAAAAAGGAAAAAGAAAGTGGAACTTTTTCCGAACGCGGACTGGTTTGATACAAGTGCATAATACTTTTTTTCTTTTACACAATCATTTCTGCGACCAAAATATTGTTTTAGATATTGAAAATAATGAGTTCACGCGAGTTTGATGTAACTGATTTTAAACTTTTCACAGAGCGAGAGCAATTAGTGGCAATTAATAAATAATACCTATTATCATAAAATTTTACATTGTATAATAATATAAATTTCAAAATTTTATGTTCCTTTTTGTAAAATCTAAATATTTGCATAAATTTTAATAACAGTACATGCATATTAAACTTTATATTGAATATGCATATTTGCCCTAAACATACATATATGTTATGCCTTCTCACAATATAAACCAAATTATTAATTAATTTTATTTTATTAATATTTCGTGAGTACGGCGATGCAGAAATTATTGGGTAGACTTTCTTTAAACTACGATACGGACTACAGATTCGCATAATTATCTAAATGCAGAAAGATTTTGGATTCAAATGTATTAAGGCTCGGATTCTCGCGGGAATTTTGTTCTAAAAGTTGATCTTTGCAAACGCATTTTTATCGAGACAAAAACCGATCAAGTGCAGTCTTGCGAAAGCGTTATTTCCCGTCTTTTTTTTCGTCGCTTATGCTTCCAAGTAATTTTCCTTATTACTCCAGGGACATCCCGTCGACTTCGTAAGACTTTTTACAATTTTATTTTTAATGACAAAATTTGCTTAAGTTCAGTTATAAAAGTGAAATGAGCCAGAAATCTGCTCGTATAGTAAGCATGATAAAAGACAGACGACCACCCGCCCTGAAAATAGTCTATCTTATTTAACCGGAAAGAATGTTATATTAATCATACTCGTATAACGAAGAGATTGTGATGATAATACCGCTTATTTTCCAAGATTGGTCATTTATCTTTTTGTTAAATTACCCGAACTATATAGAAAGTATTTCCTCCGTATATTGCACCTATCAACGGAAAGTTTTCCTCTAAAAAAGAAGCTTAAACGATCTAAAATTGCACTCCGGACTGGTTTTCTGGTGCAGACGCAGCATGGCACGATATGTTGCTGCAATGCACGCGAGGCGAGGTCGAGTGAATGACGATACAAGCTTCACCGCGAGATCCTCCACGCCCGTATCCCTGGTGGCATGCTCATTGCCTTTTGATGGAAAACTCTAATGAGCTTTCTGCGAAGATAAATATGTTTAATCACGCTTAACAAACAAAGCAGAAAAGTTATGCAAAAGATAAAGAAGATCAACTGATAAAGGGAAAAGGAGAATAAAAAGTGAAGCATATATACATAGGATATATGTTTCAAAACTTTGATCAATATTTTAAGTTCTCCTTCATACTTTTCTTAGAAAAATTCAAAGATAATTTTTTTTCGAGATTTCTTTGAGAAATAAAACCTGACTGAGATGCATCTTGACTTCGCAACTTTAATGACGGATGACGGAACAAATCCATACGATGAAATTGAAGAATTTTGCAAATTGTTAAAGCAATTATTATAAGCGCATGCTATTATTTCCTACGAAAATTATAGTGTGAAGCTGCACGAAGAATGCCGCGCACACTTTGCTCGTGACAGCTTGAATTTTTGTCGCACAGATCACATCCGCGGCTTATTTCCGCGGTTATATCCGCGCGAAAAACGTACCCGAGACGTGTACGCGCTACCCGAGGATTTCTCGAAGAATCTTATTCCGTAGAACGCGCGGGCGCGTAAAACGAGAATCGACGACAGTCAATGAGAGAGAGGAGATCGTATCTGCGAAGCAGTGCTCATGCTTTTCAGGACCGCTTATTGGATCTACGTTGTGTGGAAAGTGAACGGAATGTAAATTGATCTCGAGTCTGACGCCAAATCTACGCGGCGGCGGCGTTGCGAAGAAGCACAGCTGGAAAAAGTGCCGAAATAACCAATAATTAAAGCGTACCGTAGAGTCGGATTTCTCCATAGAATGTAAAAAGTATCGACTTTCATTTGCTAGTGATTAAATTGCTACGTAAAACCTTTCGCACGGTGCATTGAATTTTTATTCATTAAGAAAAAAAGTAATCTACTCAAAAGAATTTTTTGTAAAATCGTTGAATACATCGTTTTTAAAATTCGGACCGCCGTTAATTTTTATTTCTGAATTGCGAACGTGTTAGTTAATACGGGTTCCTACTGAAAGCCGGGAAAAACTGTACTTATTTCATCGCTAATTGGATTATTTTATAATCAGCGAAATACAGAAATATGAAATGGTACACGGCAACGTAGACCGATATAAGGTAATTAAGATAAAATAAAACAAAATTAAACTAATGTTTTACTGAAATATAATTACAATAAGTAAAAAATGCAGAGAAAGAAACAGAGAGAGAGAGAGAGGGGGAGGAAGGGAGTTAAAGTAAATTAAAAGTTAGAATGTGTCTTTTATAGCTTTATAGCTTTGTGAAATCTTTTCCATAATAAAGTCTAATGTTACGTATATGCTATTAATCAGAATGAATGTACTTGTCGGCACAAAATTATATTACCATTAAGTACGGGAGAAAATCTGATTTGAGCTGGTCGCGTGTGCTTTCAGCTTTCAGGCGATGAATCGCGCCGGCTTTGCGCCAGCGGCGCGAAGGCACCTGAAAAGGGTGATGTGGAGGCTGCGAATCTCGGTGTGGCGACCTATGGCTCAGTCGTGTTTCAATTGAAAGACGCCCACCTCGAGGCGAACGGCATCTGTGACTTCGTCTTTCGCGCTTTGAGAGTTATCAGCAAGACGATGACGTTCACCATATGTCTGACCTGTTTGTCCACTGTGCCTATTTTGATGTTCATCTTCGGTGAGTAAAGAGACACGGGCAGATGCGGATAGAAACGAAATGGTATCGATTAATCTCGGTTGCGCGAATCGAGAGAGGTCTTCGACCGGTAATCGACCATGTATGGATAACTTAATCACGAGAAAGTATGTTCAGATAGCATGATGAATATTACATAATGACTATCAGCTGGATAAGTGGGTCGAAAATGACCTCACCGAAGTTAGTTCAATCCGTTTTACACTTTGAAACAAAAAGCCGATCAATACCTCTCTCTGGCAGTATATCCATAACAACTATAACGGTAGGGTCTCGTGAGACCTAGAGAGGCAAACTATACAGTCTATCCCTCTTTGATTTATGGCGCTTTTTAAAATTCAAGAATTGCCAGCGTTATTTTTTTTTAGTAGATATTACTTAACATTTTTTTTATCTTACTTGTTTTCAATATGTAATACTTTCTCGATATTGCTTTTAATGATTATTATTATATATGTGCCAGTAAAAAGATATTCGGTTGATACTTAAAAGAATGATGTAGAACGAGTGATTGAACAAGATGTTCTCTTAAATTTTCTTTGTGTTTCACTAAACTACGTAAAATCTTGTAGCTTTTTCTGATGTAAATTTTTCTCCATTACATATCTCTCGCGAAAGTTAAAACTCTTTTATTGCCTCTTTAACCTCTCTTAAGGGAATAGCTTTACGCATAGCCCGGCGGAGATAATTTTGCAGATATCAAAGAAAATTTTCAACGTAGTACCCATCAGTATCGCGCTGTGTTTAGTCACTTTTCTCTCTTCAACACTAATCTCCAAGTTCAACTTGAATTAAAAATACGGAACCTGATAGCGAGAGATAATTCCCCGGAGTATTTCACGTGAAAGACGCGTCAATCAGGATAGCGGATAAGGTTCTTTTATCAGCGTCCTGGCAGAAGTATGTATATTTCGCACTATCGTTAATAATATAAATTTACATTTGAAATTTTTTACGAATAAACTGGCGAAATTTCTCTCCAGTGTGGGGAAGATTTATTAGCTGACAATTTTTAAAGTTCGCAATCTATCACGTAATCATATTGCTTGCAATAATATAATTTTGTGGAGCTATTAGGTATTGCACTTGATGTATATTCTTTTATATATCTAACATATAATGATATATTAGAACAACATAATTATATTTTTCATTATATTTTTAGAAAATAAATGCAATTAAACTTCGAGATAAACTCAGAAATAATAATTTATCGTTAAGGTAAATATGAGAGATATCCTTTTTCCTATAATTTGCTCGCGGTGTAAAATTAAAAATAAAGCCTATTATATTAAAAAATGAGATATAATATATACATAAAATATATATTAAAATATGCGGCATACAAAATTATAAATAGAATTCTATCTTGAAATCTAATGCAAATTATAGACCACCTAAAGATTCAAGATGCAAATGGTGCATTGTTTTCTTCCCTCATGAAGTTTCAACCAGCGAAATGTAAATATTTGATCAATGTTCACGGCGGTAGGAAAAGAGATTTGCGGCAAGGCAAAGTAAATAAAATCTTACTTCTCCCAACAAATCTTTTTACATTTTACGAAATCAAATTTCCCAGTTCTGTTCCTAATGGTATTCCTAATGGTATTCTCGTGTGATTTTGCAACATTTAAATATAGTTTTAATATAACTAAATTTTAATGCAATAATAAATTTCTTAATAAGTTTCTATCAGAAATGCAGCACCTATTACACATTTCCCCTTCCGGCCAATTCAGTTGAAATTCCACGAAATGTACGACATAATTTCTGAGCTAATTAATGCTACCGGGATTACGACACGTGAATCGCTAGCGTGTTGAGCTTGCAGCATGCAAGCATACTTAATTTCTCGAGCAGGTTACTCGCGCAGTAGGGAGCACGGACGTTCAACCTGATTTATTGTAAACCTGGTGCATTCACCTCCCGGCAAAATCCACCTAGTAAGAACGTGCAATCGATAATAATGGCATAGGTAAGCTGCAAAAGTGACCGCAGATCGTCGATTCCAAATACGACTTAAAACTTTCGTAAATCACGATACGAAAATGGAATTAATGTCATTGATTGAGAACTGTGCTGTGAAAATTTAATGAGGCACTTAAAGTTGAGCACTTAAAGAGCTAATTCGAGCAATGCGAAGCATATTGAATTCTCGATTAGAATTAGAACGCTACTGAGAAGATTTCTTCATCGAAATGCGCGATGAAGAAATCTTCTCAGTAGAAAGAATATAAGAAGCGATCAGTATATCTCACGATTTCCGGCTTTCCGAGAAAGTCTATCTAATTATTTCGAGCTCACGAGATTCGCTCATTACAGTGTTGCAAAGCAAAGATAATAAAGATAAGAAATTTAAAATAATGTTTCCTTGGAATTATTTAATTTTTTATAAATATTACAATACCTTTGCAATTATCGAAGTATTTAGGACGACGGTATTGATTTCTCATCGCAGCGAATGTCACGAAATAAATTCTTCAAAAAAAAAAACCGTCGGGGATTGTGCTGTAGCAGAAAATAGTTTATACATACACAAAAAATGCGCATAATAACGAGATACACATTACTCTAGTATCGCTGCAGAGAATATGAGGTATGCACATGTTATCCTGAGTCGAGCGTCGAACCAGAATGTGATACACAGAATGGACGTCAGGCAACAAGCAATTAATGCTAAATTATTCTTCGCTGGCGTTGCAAAAAGCGTATAATAATGATGCGCGCCAGATATACGTTAGATCTTAATTGATGGACAAGAATATCGGTTAAGGAGCGCCTCTCTCTCTCTCTCTTTTTTTTGACGAGAAAGGACAATAAGCTCTAGATGAATTACTATATCCCGTATTATTTCTGGTTATTACTCAAACTATCAAGTATTCAGGTCATGGATATAAAAAGGACGGGTATAAAAGGAAGACGGCGCCATAAAACGTCTACTAATGAAGCAAGTTGCAGCGAGAAAACGACGGAGGCAGAAGTCATATAATCAATTATCGAGTTTACTGCAAATTGCACTTATTATACGATGCCATGCAACGTGACATCAAAATTATTCCGTATGTCTTATATGTTTAACTAAAGATACACTGTAAAAAATTTAATGTCCCAGAAAGTCCACTCTAAATTTTGTGTTAAAATAACTCATGCATTGTGTTATTTTAACACAAAATTTAGAGTGGACTTTCTGGGACATTAAATTTTTTACTGTGTAATTTTACATTTTATATTCAAAAGAAATATAAAAGAATATATTGCGTATTAATTTTCGACGTGCACAGCAGACTTTTTAAAGCCAGATTCAGACCGAACACGAATGAATAGTATTAGCATAGTTTTGTGTTTAGTTCGCATTTGTTTGTTTCGTTCTAAATTCGCCCTTTGTGTTGCAACAAACGGCAAACATGTTAACAATCAATGTTTGAATTTATTTTTGCAGGTGTGCAGTTCATTAAGGATTGCCCTAAAGAACCGTATATTCCCGTGTACATGCTGATCGGGGGAGTTTTGGGCGCTGTGCGTATGTTCTGGGCGTTGTATTCGCAGTTACGCTCCCGGAGGCCGGAAGTCTTGTCCGTTCCCGCCGTCAGACCACACGTCTCGCCTATGAAATTACTCTCCATAGCTTTATCATGCTTCCTGGTCGCGTGGTTCGTGTTAGGTAAGCAAGAAATTTCATCTAAAATTGTACACGACGTGTTATATTTCGCACCGCCAGAACTTTCGGAGCGTTAAAGCCACAGAGGATTTACTCGACGAGTATATGCGTGAGTCGGATTACGAAAATACATGTTTCATTATATTCGGCTTTATAATAACTTTATGCAAACGTAATTAAATATTAGAAGATAATCGTTACGTACAAGATAGATCAAATTGCAGATAAATAATGATAAAAATGAATAATTCCTATTATTTTTAAAATAATAAAATAAAATAGTTCCTATTCTCCTTAACATTTTTTTGATAACTAATTATATAATTTTTATTCTCTACTTATCTTTTTGTTTTCCACTGTTTTTCTGTTTTTATTTCATTAGTTATTCACATTTCGTTGTACTTTATAATTTAATTTTATTGCACTATATTCTATATTTTTAAAATAAAATTCTCTGATATAAAATTTTTGTTCTTAATAGAAATCTCTTGTATGGCAGGCCTGAATAGAGATTTTGAAGAGTTTTAAATGACGTAGTGTATATAACTATATGAAAAATAATTCCGTCGCGATATTATTATATTATATTGTTCCATAAATTGCAGCGTGTATTATATTTAACTCTCTTGCATATTGGTCTTAATTGCGCATGGAACTTTCCGTTTCATGTTATTCTTATGAAGTTTTATGTTGACGAAAATATCGGTCAAGTTGCTGTAGGCTTTGCTTATATTTGCACGTTGCAATAGACGGTTTTAACAGCGTGTCCTATCTTTAGCGATAAATGGATCAATATTAAAGTATCGCAAAAGTGCGCTTTAATAGTATCGTTATTAATCAACATATACAGTTACCTTTATTTTTTTTTTTAATAAATTGTCGATATATATTATAAAATATTATGTTACGTGTATGATATATTAAATTTATGGATTGATTATATTTTTCCATTTTACTTTTATACTTGAGATTTTCTTAAAAATAATACCTAATACAGATTCACGTGAAATGGCAAAGAGCGTTGAAAGCATGCGCATGTAAATTCGTGTGCGAGAGAAAATTTCGCGATTACAAAAAATTCACGGTTCATGACGATTTAACTGTTCGTGACTAAGCGCCGTCGTGCAATTTTATGATATATGCAATATGTATTTCGTGCGGCGCACCAATTCGTACGGCAAAACGCGACAGTTCGTTGGTCGGAATGCAGGACGAGATTGTAGGCTGCTTAACATGTACGTAACGTAGAACGTTATTACTTTGAAAATTTTTAGGCCTAATACAAGAACAATTTTCGAGGTAAAATCGAGTGAACAAACGGATACGAGGAAAATTTTTCTATGTATGTTTCGACAAAATCCTTCGGTATGGCAAACTGAATAATTTGATAACATGAATTAAATAATTTGATAACTTGATAACATTCTAACTTGATAACATCGATGCCCCGGCATTCTATGCGACGCTCCTCCTTTCATCGCTTATAGACTTTAAATCGAATAATTAATTCCTAAGTTCATTGTTTTTTTCTCTTTTTGTTTTAGGACATTACTGGATACTGCATATAATGTGGCCAGAATACGAACTTTCATTGTACGCGCCCAATAGGTGGTGTCACAAGACGCTCTATATTTTTTCTTTAGTTCATCTGTGCGTAGCGTACGCGGTTTTATTTGTAATATTAATCGTGGCAGTCGGCCTGGCTTTCTGCAGAATTCTGGAATGCCCTTTACCAGAAAGGTAAGTCAATTTTTGGAACTTGAAATAATCGTCCATCATACAATTTCGGACCAACGACGAAAAGATCAATTGCACTATAGTTGCAATAGACCAAATGTTACTCGATTTACTTTAACGAGATATACCTTTGAAACATGTATAAAACTTCAAAAAGTATCTAGTAATTATTTATACAAAAATTCAAACATCTTCGATTATCTACATGTAAGTTTTTGTAAATATTAAACTTAAACATATGGATTTTAATAAATATTAAACATATTGTCCATACGTGTATAAATTTTTATTTTATGTAATTTGTATATTTTCAAATTTCTGTCCTTTTGCAGATATAACAAGCGACAATATATTTCAATAAAAACTATTCTTTCTCAAAATTAAAATGATGGGAGAGTAACACAGATGCTGTACGAATTTTTCTTGGAATATACGAATATTGCTCATAATGAAAATAAAGGGCGATGTTGACCTAATTCTCGTAAAATTGACGATGAAAAACTACTTTAAGACAACGAAGAACCCGATAATGAAAAATATTTTGTCCCGACGGCACCGCGTTTCAATCTGCGTATGTTACAACATTTGATACATTTGGAGAGCTGAGTAGTAAGGGTCGTGTAACGTGAGGATCATATAAACGCACACCGATCATGTTCCTATCGTCCGGCGATATGTGAACATCGCTCGCAGCTCGCGTTGCGTGCCCACTGTAATAACGACATGATTGGAGAATTCGTGGCGATTGCAAGAGATGCGTAAAACGTTTGGCTTCGCAAAAATATCCATTCCGCAATTTCGTCGTTTGTATTTCACACATACACACACACACAAAAATGACAAATGCTTAATTTATTGAAATCGTGGTGGCCAATAATTTCGCTGACGCAAAATTACGTTTCCTGAACCAGTACGGTTTGGACAGCATCTTTATTCGGTCTATCTCAAACCACGCACACATCTCAACGCACACATTACAAGTAAAATAAGATAATATAAAATTTATACGTAAGGCAACGAACCCACGATCGATAAGAGCATACTCACGCTCCAAAGCGCGCCCGTTTTGCTCGACTTTCAGATACAAATAACCACGGCGATCCGTTCGCCAGAATAAAATCCGTGAGAAGAAGAAAAAGAAGTTGGCGGCCGGTAGCGGGGTTGGTTGGAGTTTAGACAGACGCATGGTTCTGGAGGATCTGCAGGAGGAGGAGGACGACGACGACGATGGTACGCGGAGCGATGTTGATCTGAACAATTGTGGCAATAAGATCGTGCAGGAGGTGAAGTATTGCAGCAAAGTTCAGTTTCGCGCGCCGGATATAATCGAGCTGTGATGAATAAACGATATCGCGACGGAAGGAACGGGAGAGATGTCTCGCTACCAGCGGCGGAAGAACTCCGGAGACGGAATGCCAGGGCATTGCTGGCGGGAACGACTCGTAATCTCGAAAACTTCCCCGCGCTAACGAGGTTGCTGCCCGCGAGGGTAGGATTTGCGAGATGAAAGGGGACGGTGAAGGGAAACGGATAACGAGGTCGCGAAAGGAAAACGCCGTCGAAGGTCGACGAGGGTATATCGCTTTCGTGAATAATCGAGGTCCCGACTCCCAACACGTGCAAGATTCTGGGATAGAGTCTTTGCATTTTCCGCAAAAGGGATATCCACATGACGGAAATATATCAGCGAGAATCCGGAATCGATCGCGAAGGAATTATCTCCCGGCGGATGAAGCGAGCACAATGGAACGAAAGCGTGTAACCATGACTCATTTATTCCAATTAATTCGTAATAATATGAGAGAGAAGTCAGTCCTGTGGTAATATTTGAGCAACGTTAAATGCACGGGGAAAATGAATGATTCCCAGCAACCGCGATCCTTTCAAGATGTAAATTAAAATGAAATATTGGCGTCGAGCTCTTATTGTTGTTTTCAATCTCACGAAAATGCGCATGGCAGAAAGCTTACATAATTTAATGGTGGATTCAACCGGATTCGGTACGCGATAAAGAAAATCTGCAGCGGCGAAAGGAAACAGAATGAAACTTTCATCGTCGAAAGAAGATTACCCGAGGAATGCTTGTAAGAATGATATTGGATTGGAGCGTGCCTTCGCGCAGAAACAGAGAATATTTTCCGAAAGATTTCGTCCCTAAAGTCGTCGTAATATCGATTTAAGTCGTGTCCTGGCTGCGGTTTGGCGAAGAAATCGATACGGAGGCCTCTACACTCGTATCAAAACAGGGATCTCCGATGCGTCGCTCTCGCAAATAGCACTCGTTTCTCTTTTCGCGCGTCAATTAAACGCAGAAATTGAATTTCGAAGCACGTACATAACTCGATTGAATTAGAATGGCCAAGCAATATGTCTTCTTTTCTCCAGGAAATATCTGCCAAGGAATTCAGCGCCGTTGTAATATCGATTCGATGTGAACAATTGTCAGATCTGTAATCATCGATCTTCCGATTATTTTAATTCACCCAACAACAACCTATTGATTTTCTCCCTGATTTTTATGTAACTTCCAAGAAAAATATACAAATGAGCTAAAAAATGTATTTCTTCTCATTCCGCTATAAATAACTATGAGAAGTTTGACCACACAGTGAATATTTCTAAATAAATTTATTCTGCAAGACTTCTCGACAATTGGAGATTTCGAGCTTGAGTTTCGTTAATTTCCACGTAAAACGCCCACGCGGAAAACGCGACGCGCAACTCGACGAGCCATGTTTGAAGATCGTATACGAAGTTGAGGAAAACTCGCGGAAATCCTACGACTACAGTTTTACGACGTAATGCCTCGTTTGAAGTTGTGGCTCACCCAAACGAGAACTTGCGATTTCGCGGAATTCCGCGTTATTACCTTCAAACATCTGAAGAAGCGAAGAATCGTACAGAGTGAAAAACCGACACACGGGGGAAGAACGAAACCAGGTATCGACTTATCGAGCGGCGGCGGCGGTGGCGACGACGACGACGTGTTTCTGCCGGTCGACACGACGCGCAAATCTGATGCTTCATCGAATCAAGTCTGGCGAGAATAGTTACGGCAACCGACTACGGCAACTGAGTTCCTCTGTTCTTCACTTAGTGACGGAAGTGATATCGAGATTATTTGTTCCTGTCATTCAACGTTCTCTGTCGTGAAGATAATACTCGTGTGAAATTTCGCGTGCGAAGAAGGAAGCATGGAATTTAATGCTCGTGAGAATACACAGCCGCAATTCGTAAACGTATTAAAGTTTTCGATCGTTTTACGATATCTTCGGATAATATCGAGCGTCGGCCGAAGGTAAGTGGGATCTGATTAAAGATGCTTTGACATGAAATAGAAAATGTAAGTAGGAGGAGACATGCGATCTTTTTTACTTCATTTTTATCCCTTTCTGAGCCAAATTATAAAACCGTCACTTTTTAAATCAACTTTTTTTTCAAGGAAATATAGATAATTTAAGTAACAGACGGGTGTTCAATCTTTGCATTTTGTATGAAAAATTTGTAACGTGACCTCTCACTTCTCTATTCGTTCAAATCGCTTCTTGTAGACCTCATTTCAAATAGTCTGTCGTATGTTTATGACGTGTCGGAATAAAAAAAAACAGCATCGTATCGACTCTTAAAAGAAAGTAAACACGGAGCTGCTATAGTTGCGTACTATCGATTAGTACATCAATCTTAAACGCAATCGACTAATCAATACCCTTTGTCAGTGTAACTTTTCGACTATACAGAAGGCAATTGTTACAAATAGATTTTCACACACATACTGCACAGATACACAAATACTCGCACACGCGTACTACTTTTTTTATAAAGGTTTGTACTTAGCATGCTCAGATCGTTGCCGTTCCCGTTTCACCCTTTGAATTCTATATGGGCTAACAATGTAAATAATATGATTCTCGCGTTATTATTCGAGGAATTGCGCAATTAACGGGATAGAAATTAACGAACCAATTAATAATACGCCCAATATTCTCGCTGAAACTTTACCTCGGTTCAATGCTTCAAATATACGCTTCTCTCTAGACCCGACAATTAACCTTTTATTTGAAAAAGATTTTTTTTACTATCCCTCATAAAAAAAAGAAAGGTGACGAAAGCATAAGCGTAAAGATTTAGCGAAAGAGATCATACTGGTCATGCTGATTTCATATATAGGAATGATAGACGAACAGAATAACAGAATGAGTCGAGTCAAAGTTGAAAGCTTCTGCTTCAAATAAGATGTAAAAACTGATGGGATACGATCAGAATGCAGATTAAATTGAGCGAAAGTAGGTCAGTGAGCGGGTTTCTGAGTAAAAATGCGATTCACCCTGCGATCTCTTTCGTTCGCAGGTACTATACGCGTGGAAAATTCCGATGTTATAAGAGTTATTAATTATTTAACAAAGTGGTGCGCGTGTAAAAATACCAATCGAATGTAAATGTTCATAAATATACAGTTATATATTCCAATCATAAAGATATTTAAAACGCAGAATGTGTGTCAATTCTGAGATTCAAAATTTCACTCCCAAAATTACAAAACTTATCGCAGTATATTCGGTGCGCAAAGCACACTGCTTATCAACTTATGATAAAATGCACATCTCTAAATTTGGAAGCTTTATAATTAGGCTAATGGCACATCTTATTCTGTCGACACACCGTGTGATGCGTGTTATGCACGCGTCTCGAGCATCCTGCGTAAAGGACTTCGATCCAGGCGTCGTCCTTTTGCGATTACGACGCGACCGATCGCGCCTCACTGCAAAACATGTCGAAGAAAAAAATAGACCGAGAGAGAAGAAGGAGAGGAAAGGAACAATGCGTCAATTAAATCAGTACGTCAACAAGCTTCGTTATTCCGAGCGTTGAACGCAAGGGCGTTCCGCGAGTGCTGATTTTGCATTATACGTAGATACCGAAAGCAGTGATTGTAGACATATAAAGATCAGACATTAAATATACTCCTAACGTCAACGAAAATTTCATCGCGAACGCGCGAATGTGCTCAAATCTAAATATCGCGACAGATGATGAAACACATATTTTTGGATATTTGTACGTTCGTTTAGCCGAATGTTATCAATTCTAACGCGATCTGACTATATTTGGCTGGATAATTTGTATAGTTTTTTATATAGAAATAGAGCAACCTTGATCCATGAACGTTAATCCGTAATTCCATACACGAGTATTCGTTCTTTATGTACCTATAATCACTGTACCGGGTCACACAAGTAAATGCTCTTTAAACAGATGAAAAAGCAGCATTTACTCGTATGACACATAAATATTATGCGTGTAAATATAGATATACTCGTACGAGAATATAAGAGTAATTTCTCCGTTAAAAAAAATCTGACCAAACGCAACGATAGGCGATCTATGAGAATGAAAAGTGTTTCAATAACGGCCGTTAATTTTTGCTTCAGGTACATCGTTCTTGTGTTTGCATTTGCGACTGGTTCGAAAACGGGTCCATACTTTATTTAATACTGAATAAATACGAATAAATAAATACGGTGAGTGTGTCGTAATTAAGGCTGTAGCCGAGCTGGTAAGCGTGCACACGAACGTAAAATAAATCTCCGCTGGGAACGCGCCTTCCACGATATTTCCATACACATCGTTTATTCGTTTACCATTATTTCAACGAGTGAAAATCCCATTCGATTTTCCATCGAACGAATGCTGGAACACGAGAATACGCTTTTATCATTCCTTATTTGTCACATAGAAAATTACCGAGCAAAGTAGATTATAGAATAAAGACGGTAATATGGGAAATATCGAAAATGTAAAATAATTATCCGACTGTTCATTCTTTAATGAAACCTAATTAAGATTGTATCACTCAATATCGAAAGCATGGTTCGCTTACTTTGAAATATCGTATGAGTTTGAACACTATGTTGCCACTAGTTTTCTTTATGTAAGAAGTAATTTCGTTTTGATAAAAAAAACAATAAAATAATGTATTGTCTTATCATATCAGATAGCGCAAAGGTTACAATGGAATTGTGACAGGTAATAGTTAAATTGGGTTTTTGCCTATATTGTAAAAAATACGATACTATCGTAGGTGGTTTCGTAAAAACAACGACCATACGTCACAGTCGAACGTGACAGCTACGGATATAAATCATATGATGACCAGAGAGACACGTGCCCATATATATGAAACTCACGTGTGACTGAGGAAATTCTGGACAAGTTTGAACATGTGAATATTTGAATGTAAAAGTGACCCAATTCCGAATATGAATATATGAATATGATCATATTGTGTTGAACTCACTAAGTTTTTCTACGACGATTGACACTCTCTAAATCTGAATCAGTGATTAGTCATAATAAAAAAAACATATGTATAATTTCGATTTAATACCGAAATAATATTAAAGATTATTCTTTTTCTTTTTTTTTCTTCAGATTTCTGAGATATCTATTATTGCGAATCGTATTTTCACCATGCGTTTATGGCAAACGTGCCCGCACTGTTCGCAATATTACATATCCGGAGTTTATGGCATTACGTTTCACGTATTAAACAAAAGCTCTGAATGGGGAAACCATGTTGAATGCAAAATATGCGGTAGAGATGCGGAGATCCGTCTTAGCTCATTGAATTACGAGCTAACTTGCTGCGTACTGACCGATAGTGAATTGCACATCGATTTTCGTTGGCGAAAATTCGGCGGTTGTTCCCGGCTTTACGATATCTACGCCGCGGCAAACGGAGTCGTAGAAAAAGGGAGAAGACTAAAAGATATGAATCGCGGAGCAGAACGCTATTATACAACACCACAAACCGCTGCATTTTATGTTATCCTGATATCCCGAGAGAATCAATTAGAAAATGAGGAAATTCATTAAAAAATGAAAATTTTATTAATAATTATAAAATATATATCAAGCTTTAATTTAAACAACAAATAAGTGATAATTATTTTTTTTGTGCAAGATATATTCAAAAATGTGAACCATGCGTCGATTAATGTGATCAGCAATCTAAAGTTTCTTTCATGTATTTTGCATAAAATAATAAACAATACATTAAATAATATATGATACGTTACGATACGGTATTAAGATTGAAATAAAATTCATTTATCGATCATTTACGTTATTATTCGTTTCCATATTCATATGTGTGTGTGTAGTGCAACCCAATAAGCGTTCTTAGCTAACAAATGTACAAATGTCAACGAATGTGAAAGTCTGTAAATTAGAAAAAAAAAAACTACAACGAGGAAGAGAGAAAGAGAGAAAGAGTGTGTATTGTGAGAATACCTTTGACCCGTCCACGATCTGTTCTTGATTGCTTAATCGTGATTAATTGCGATTTAGGGCTGTCTACAAAGATAATCGATCAGTACAGTGTGTCTTGTATATAGCGTGTATCATATGTGAGCCACTGTGGTGTCGATTAACTATCTGGGTTACCATCAACGCCGTTCACGTCCGGTATCATTGATGCATGTGCGTGCCTGCAATGTCTGCATGCGTGCGTGCGTGAACACGAGTGATAATGTCGATAATGATAACGCTAGAATGGAAGACACTTTGATTTTTAGAGCTATCTCTTGATTATGTTATCGGAGATATATTAAAAGATATAACAATTGTTTCATGCATTATCAATATTTCGCCAAAAATTCGCATATGGGACGGTTTATATCGTTCTTAAATGCCATTAGAAAGATTTGGCTACCATTCTAGTGTTAACAACTCGCCGAAAATACGACGGAAAAATCGCCGTTTATTCCCGACTAGAATAATTAGCGTATTAATCGATTAATCACGCTTAATGAAAGACAGTGACCTGTCGTTCATTCCATTGGTACTATACATTCGTACAGCGTGTTATGTGTTTTTTGTCCTCGCGTAGGAACAAACCTGTTACGATGCCTAAGCTGATTAATTATATAATGTACGAGATGCGTAGAATATATATCTATACATAACGATATATCGAACGATAGATGATATTTTGTCGTGATATGCGCGAATGCGGCGTAACTTTATACTCGAGGACGATTCGGCAGCGGGACTTGGTGATAATCGCGTGTAACACATTCGTATATCGAGTGAATTTGGAATATCATCGAGATAAGGTCCAAATATCGATCTGAGATCACAGTCCTCGCTCCGACTTCGGCCCCCACTTAGGCATAATATCGTCGAGATTAGCAATTATGTTACTAGACGTACTGCGTTGAAATGTCGTTGAATTTCCTAGAATAGAGAGTAGAGTTTATTTATTTTTATACTGGACGCCCTTTCCAGGTACAGCAGGGTCCGTTGTACTTGATTGGGCACGTGGGATATCCGTTATCAATATGCGCGACATTTTTCGGTTAATTCGAAATGTATGCGCGCGCGGTTCATCAATTCTCTCCCGCTGATTTTCCACGGATAATTGCAGACCCGTTTCGACGCTGATTACCGTTAAAAACGCACGCGCGCCGCGCCGTTCGACTGTTGGTACTCGGAGGCGCGAAACGAATAAGCGGTAAACGCGCGGAAACGGTAAACGATAAACGGTATTAGCGTTAACAATGCGAATGGTCGAAACCCGATACGCGATTAATGGTACTTTATATCCACTACAAAATGTATAATCCGCCGAACGACCGTGTTATCGGTGTGGTATCGGTATTCGATTCGAAGACATTTGTTCCCCCGAATCACACTCGGGCGTCGACTTGTCACGGGTGGAATTTTGCCGGACACTGCGTTATGTGTTTTAGCGATACGTACGTGTTTTTAGCTATTAGGATTATTTGCACGCGCCAAGTCGCGAATTGTGGTCCAGGCTTTAACGTAGAATTTACATGCAGCGTCACGCAGATCGGTTCTCGTCCGCCGCGACGGCAGCGAGACGAGACGTCTCGTGCAAAACATCGATCGTAATTTTCTACATCATTTTCGCTCTTACGAATAACTTATGGTTGGTCACTTTGGTCCAATTTCGTAGTTATATCTAGAGTCCTCTCTCAGCCTCTTACGAGCCTCGCGTGCGCGACAGTGGCGTAAGTCAGGAACATAAATCGCGCAAATGAGTTCGCGGAACTTAGGGAAATTTCTATGAAAAATTAATGTGTTACACTGTATCGAATTATATATTAAAGGGCAGTACTAATAAAACGTACCGTTAGTGGTCATTGAAAATTTACGATTTACCTTTAGAGGAAGCATATATTATTTTTAATAATTCACAAGAGCTGTTAAATATATGTTTTCAAACGCTTGTTAAATTTATACGTTAAATTTATATAAATGTTAAAATCATGTTGCACACACAAATTTTAATTCCTCGTAGAGATTGAAGTAGAGATTTAGTCGCCGAAGAACTTAGCGAAAAAACGATGCATCGGTGTGACGAAGCGTACACAATTGCTTGATGAACGTATACAAGTGTCAAAACGAAAAATTGCCGTTAAAGCCCCGCTTTTTCGCGCGAGTTTAACTGCAATTGACATATATGCACGTATATTCGCGTTAATCCCGTTACGCCACTGTGCAAAATCGGTGCTTGTTTCAATGGCTATTTCAGCGGAAATCAATGCACTCGTTCATGCTCATCATGCGTATCATACACGCCGCGAATAAATTTTCCTCAAAAAGAAATCGCATCGATCGAAATGCCACGAGATTAAAGCGACGTCGAAACTTATGATCCCTCGTCGCATCGAAGCGTGTTCGAAGACGACATGTATTATTTCCGCGACGGATTATCATCGTACCTCTGAAAATAAAGTCTAAAAGTATAAACGAAGAGGAAAATTCGTGCCGCTCGTTTTAACAAGTCGTCCTCGATCCTCGGAATATAACACGAATTTGTCGAAAAGAAAATAATTATCGCTCACTGCTGATAAAATGCGTATATTAAAAGAGGTGTTAAGTAATCAATAAACGCTCAATTTGCCTTTCCACAGTTTACATTGTGTTGCACAAGTATTATCCCAATGACAATTGTTATAATTACGACATCATAATCAAATTCACTTGGACGGAATTATTAACGGAATTATTAACAAGAATTATCGGTAAAATAAGCTTCAATGACACACGGCAGAATGTGCCGGAATCGCTTCTGTACCGTAACAATTGTTATATATCCCGTAACAGCGGCGGATATGTATCGATCGCCATAAACCGCTGTTACAGTATTGATTTTGTTTTCGGGCGTTTCATTATTCCGTCGTGATGCAGTCGTCTGAAACGGGAAGCGCGGGCTGTCCGATGAAAATAGAGAATCGGATAACGTTACAGTAAACCGTTAGCGCTCGTCGACCCGACCACACACGTCGATGCGATTTCGATGTAATTTTCTTAAACGTGAAAATCCCTTCGTTGCGATTTCCAGCCCTTTCCAGCCGCGGATTGCCCCCGTTGCCGTATGTAAAATAAATTCGCCGATCAGCGACTCGATCGCGCTCACATGTTAACCGCTATACGAAGACTTGAAGGGTCCAATCACGGCTTTGAATCGTAATCAGCATAAGTCACGCTATAATACATATACGACACCCCTGGTCCTCTTGTAATCAAGCAAGTCTTGTACGCAGCTTTAACGAACTCTAATGCCTAATCATATCTTTTATCATATTTCGCATTTGTATATATATATATACATAAACAATGATAAACTTAGCGGCAGGTTCAATCTAAATGCGCTTTATTTACCAGTTAAAAGCATAGATACCTTCTTTTTTTGAAATCTATTTAAAAATGACAAATTAATTCAAAGGACAAATTTTAAAAACTTCGTTCGTCTTATCGTTTTAAAGCCAAGAAAATTCTTGCGGAATGTCTTGTATTATTATATCGTTCTTTTTATAATCGCGTGGATGTGGATAATTAGAAAACTAATTATAAAATTAGTATAAATAATTTAAAAAATTAAAATCTAAACAGTCGCTAAGTTTTATTTACTCGTACATTAAAATATTGTACGACCATGGTAATTTAACATTGCGACGATCTACCAAATTTAAGAGACGCAAATAGACGTCTTCCGGTCGTCGTAACGTTAAGTCAGCACGGTAATACGTAATCTAAACTTCACTCAAAATGACATATCGCTTAAAAAGTAGCCACATCATCGATAAAATACGTTACGAATCATTACGAACGCTCGCATTCTTACCGCACATTTAGCGCTAATTGCGGCTGTCCATTTGCGAGCTCATCTATTAAATAAAGAAGAAAAAAAAACAGAAACGCAACAAAACACATTTAGCACTAAATGAGCGACGAAGATACGGACCAAAGTATCTTTACAGAAACGGAATACAGGTAGCACTCGCGATTTGCGCGATTGTATAATGGGCTTCCGGAAACTGAGTTGGGGACGAACAAGAGAGTCCGCCAGGAAAAGCCTCTCCTCTTTAACGCACTGCTGTTAGTGCTGTTAGCGCGTTTCGGAACGGCCATTTAAGACGGGAACGTGATGATCGCGCAGATCGTCAACTGCCTGTAATGAGCTCTAAGCTCATCGCAGCAGGCGAAAGAACGTTCCCCCGAAGCACGTTCCGGTTTTTTGTCGAAACCTCCTCCGTGTCCCTAACGAGGCGCGATGTTTGCGACTTCCGTCGGGAGTCTTTCTCGTCAGATGAATTCCGTACAGACGCGATATCACGTTTGCGCGATGTAACATTTCGCGTAACACATATTGCAGGCGCGTGTACATACGTGAAGATTTATTGTGCATACTGCATACTGAAACATTTCTGCGTTGCAGGTAAAGCGAGGATGGTACACGAAGATGTAAGCGCGCCCGCTGTGTAATTTCGTCGTCGCTCTAATTATTTGGTATCTCGGCGGTTATGCAATCCGGATATTCTCGCGATTCCGCTGAAACTCATTCTCCGAGATAATATCTACATTCCGCAATTTTATCGACGCGCAATATCCTTCTGTGCTTCGCGAATATTAGACAATTTCCCGAACGATTAATGTTATAATTGACTCCTGATTTATATAAAAGAAATACATAAAAAAAATATCGTAGTTACGTAATGTGCTGTCATTATCATCGACGCTTTCATTTAAACATGATAATTAATTTATATCAACCTCGCGAATATATTTTGATAAAACATCGAGAGCTGGAGATAAAGGCACGTGAGTAAAATAAACAATGCTGTTTCGTCTCTTCACATGTAATTAGATGCCTGTACAAATAACCGGAACGTGTTTGAAGACATACCTGCGTGCAACCCCGACGAAGGATGCAACTAAACAATCGAGCAGTGCCAGTGCATGTACCACACATTTGTATAATATGCATACGATATAGAGAGGCGTAAACATAACGTAACGTATAATATATTGACACGCATACATTTACTATGTATTCCCCGTAGAAATATCGAGGTTGTAAAACAAACGATAACCGTACGAGTACATTTATATAGAGTGTATACTGTAAAAGAAGCGACTGTGTGTAAGCAGTATGGTGGACTCATAACATGTGACCTATTTATAACGTGACCGCCGAGTGCTGAAAATATAAAATGTCTACATGGTATACAGTGACACCTGCGGCTCAGTCTTTTTTTTCTCTCCTGCAAACAGACTCTCCCGCCGTCTATCTTTACAGTATCACATTCACCACGTCCTTTCCTTTCACAAAGTGCCCACTGCCCACTCCTACCCTTTTAGTACGTAGATTCTTTTTTCTAATTCAGAAAAAACATACCAAGAATACTTTGGTGCATTAGCTGGAATAGGTACGGTGTAGCACGTGCATCGTAAATAAACATTTAATTGTCTTTAAATATCGATTTTTGCGTACAATAATAATTTTGGTATTGTATACTGTCGGTATCGTCCGTTCATAAAATAATTATGAAAGGCTCGAATGCCGTCGGAATTCGTAATGCCGACTGATGTTGGTCTAAACGAAGTCATCGCTTCAATTAACGTCGTGATTAATTTATTCGACGAGGACAGTGTTCCCATAGAATTATACATTCGTGTAGCCATTCGTTGGAATATTATTACGTGAGCTCGTGAATGTTCGTTTAAAACCGAAGAGAAAATAAATTGTCGACAAATATATTATTTTACTCACCTAATTAGTTTATAATTTTGCAGCAGATGTTTGTTGATCTTTTATCTATTTATAGTTATGAAATACTCTACCCTGTGACGTACGTTTCCATTTGCAAATGTTATTCTGCTTTATTAATTTTTAATTATGTTATGCCATTGTCACTTCAAATAAGGAATATTTTCAAAAGTAAAAAAAAAATTATCAATGTTTTTCAAACTTTCGTGCAGCAAGAGGTTCATTAATTGCGAAAGGACTTTTTATCGATATGCAAAATTCGACGTAAAATTCAAAATGAAAGAAGATGCTTTTGTTATAAAACTGTACGTTGTCTCGTGAATATTTCGTCGATGATTGTTATGAATGCTACAGGAATATCACGTATGTTTAGATGCCCACTACTGACGCATAATTCTATCATAGTTGCATGCGTCCAAATGGTTATTAGGCTGTCCATACAGTAGTTAACAATGCCATTATTACATACACGTAGTCAGGAGACAAAGTAATCGGGTAGAGATAGCTCGCTAATATATTAACAAACAATGTGGCTTTCGGACTAATGCACGCTGGACAGTAATTTGATTGTTGGCAAATGAATTACATTTGTAATTGAAATTATTAATATCAGGCAATAAAAGGATATGACGTAATTAATTATTAATAAATAATATCTTTACAAAAACGTGATTTAAACAAATCAAAGATCTTCTGCATATACTTTTGAAATATAGATTTTTAGACTCGTTGACAAAATAGAATAGCCGAATAAATCCTTTTTATTCTCTGTTAGTTAAACGATAAATCCGCGCCGAGTTATCAAGCGGTCCTAGCGACGGTGACGGAGGTTGTACGTGAAAATATAGAATTTCATCTAAATGTAAATCTGCATCGCTGCAAAGTATATTCGCGAAATGCGTACGACGGGAGAACTCTCGAAATCCTTTTCCCGAATTCGAAAGGCGTGCCGAAAGTTTTCTCACCGAGATTCGCCGGTACGATCACAATTGTCAATACACATCTCGGAATACATGTTCCGCGCGTCGCGACGAAGGACTTGAAAAAAACGCAACGTAAAGAAAAATATTTATTCTAATTCACACGCGGTATCGACAAATGCACAGGCACAGTTGCAGCTGATTGTCGAAAATATGACAGATGTGGCTGATTGCACCGACGACGT